AACTAATGTAAATCAATATTTACATAGTAGTAAACTTATCTCTCACACAAGTGTCGTGCATTGTCCTGTAAAATCACATCTACACGGTCACCCTAGTACCCAGTGTGGACATACGTGACGATTTGGGAGTGAGAATGTGTTTTGCTTAAAAAGTACAGCATGGAAGTTGAGTAAGAGAGGTATTTCTGTAGGATCAACAATAAAACACCCTGCAGTCAAGAGGGATTATTGAAAAGAACACTGAAGTACAGTCAGACAATTCCATATAAATCCTTCATGCCTCTCATTGTCCTTCAATGTCATTTATTGTTCTTTTGTGACTTTTCTTCTTTGTCACAGTGATCAGCTCATTAAATATGTTTTCTAAAGAGTGTTTCCACATCCTTCCAGCCCCAATAACCACATTTTCCTTCCCCCCCTCTCTCTCTCACTCTCGCTGTGCTCTGAGGAAGAGCAGATTGCGGTGAGCGCTGGTGAGAAACATGTTGGCAGGTGGTCAAGGACATGTTTGTGTTTTTTGGAAGGCTGTTCTTAAATTAGCAATCATGAATTAATTAGCTACCAATTATCCACAGGCCCAAACAATTGTGATGAATGCCAAAGTGCTGGCTCTGTTTCCAGGTACTGACCGTGGCAAAATCCAGCCCAAAACAAACAGAACAGTGCTCAGCACATCTACACAGAGCAATTCAGTGTGGCACAGAAAACCACTTCTCCACTGGCTTCAAACCCTCATTGTGGCATGTCTGGAGTGGTGCTCATTTGCGTAGTCAAATGCATATTACTGTGAACATCATCTTGCTTTTTGTTTGATTTCATGGTTTTTGATATTTTTATTTGTGCAGTGTGTTTTGACTATTATCTTACTATCTTATACATTTACAGTTATACAGTTTAATCAAATAGCTTAGCAGCTTTAACAGACAGTTGAGCAGTGCAAATTATAAATACACTATCTATTTTCAATGATTTATTGACTACTTACTAGATGATAAATTACAATACTATCATAAATAAAGATGCATCTTAAAAGCTTCTAAAGGTTTGATGGTCATCTTGAATACACCGTTTATATATATATATATATATATATATAATATATATATGTATGTATGTATGTATGTATGTATATATGTATGTATATATATATATATATATATATATATA